GCGCGACTTGTGCGCTTCGGGCAGGACGGAGCGTGGAGGAGCAGACGTGTCCCGGGCCCGGCCGGGCCGTGGAAGGAAGAGAAGGACAATCAAATAAAATGAGGCGCGCACACACACACCAAGTGGATAGTTAGTACGCAAAGTGCCCAGTGAAGCCAAATGACACGTCATTTTACAGTATGACCTTTTTTTCCCCTTCCAGACTCGGCTTTTTGTAAAGCAGAGAAGAGAATTAATTGTACCAGCTGTCCCCCCAGCAGCGCCCCCCACACCCGTGCAATAAACCATTAAACACACACACACACACACACACACACACACACACACGCACGCACATATTCCTGTTAGCCACATTGTGAGTGCTTTGTGAAAAAAGAGAAAAAAAATTCACAAATCAGATAAAACTGGAAAATGACATTTGTCTGGAAATGGCTTCTTGGTCTGGAAATGGCGTTTTAAAAAATTTGTCCTTTTCAAGGTGGGAGGGGGACGGCGCTGTCAAAGGAAGACGTCCCAGGTGGGGTCATGCAGAGACGTTAATTAGTCGGTCAAGTGACATTTGGTTGTTTGGTTTTTCTTTTTTTTGATTGTGCTTTCTCTTTGGCTAAGGGGGGGGGCTAACCAGGGGAGATGGCCTTTCCTCCTTTTTCTTTAAGGTGCTGCTTTGAGAAAAAACAAAATAGTCATTTTTTTAAAAAATTGTTGAAATGACCAGACGAATTACACAAGCATTAATTAGAATGGAGGTTTTCCACTTCCTTGGTAATTTGGCTGTTTGAATAAATTTGTGAACGAGGTACTAGGTCCAGCCGTAGTCCATGGTCACATTTCAACAAAACGGCTTGATTATCAAGAATAAAATGCGAATGGCTGGTTTTCCTTCGTGATGGTGTTTGGTTTGCTCTTTTTGGATGGGTCACGTCTTTGTTCTCCTGGGTCCAGATTAATAAAAGCAGAAAATTATTAAATGAAAATAAATCTGTTGTTTATACATTTGCAATTTCGGTAATTAAGTGGTACATATGTGGAGTCCTATGTAAAGCTTCTGAAGCCAGAATTATGCTATTTGAATATTAATGTGCTCATGATTTGATTTCAAAGTATAAACCTGGAAAAGTCAGAAATCTCCAATGGGTTCTGTCTTGCTATCTCAATACTGATTTAAGTCAAGTGTGATGGTAACAGTACCTGAAATTTCTGACACCTTTTGTGTAGTGCTCACCAAGTCTCCATTAACTTGAGACTGTTACTCTGCACATACCTTGCCTCCACCTGGGGGCTTACCTTACCAGGAGTCCTAGTCTGTACAGCTTTTTGGATTAGGATTTATTGATAGCCCCTGGCACAGAAATCCGCAGCCCTATCAGTGACAGCATTTTGCATTTTAAAATCATGACACTCACCAAGTAATGCCCCCCCAAGAGGAAACATAATACACCAAATCCTCTTTTTATTCCATCTTAATTTAATAGTCTGAAAATTAAATTACAGCACAAGAAATAATCAGCCCATTTCTCTAATTTCACAAATGTGGAAACTGAGGCACAGATCTGTTTGTGCCTGTAAAAAGGTATTACACATCTTAAGAAACAAAAATATTGGAGATCCTGATTAACATTATGTATTGCCATTATGGAATCTCTTAATAGTGCCTTTTATGTTTTAATCTGTGAAAGTTATGTTCATTAAGATAGGGTGTTTGCTTTGGAAACTAATTTTAACTTACAGATACTGATTAAATCCTTCTGAAGAAGCAATAGGAGTATTGCTTTGCTATCTGGACATTAAAACAAAAAAATGCAATTAAAAGTAAAAAGAAAAATGGGTAAAAACCACAGATTTGTGTGGGTGGAGGGCAATTAAAAAAACAGTTCACATAAGGATGATTTGTTGAGTGCATTTGCAAAAAAACAAAAATGCAAAACAGCAATCCTCCTCCTAGCTTTATACTGTGTTTTCCATGAATTGTTTGTTTTTTTTTTTAACAAATCAAAGGTGATCTTAAATGGATGCATGTGTTCCTACTACTTTAGTTGAGGAGGACAGAACCCTTGAAATTCAGTGGTTTCCAGGAATCTTTTCCCTTATGATTAAAGTCTTGTCCTTTTATTATTCTTTACTATTGTTGCAGGTTTACCTAATGCTAATATGGTCTCAAATGCTGTATTTGATGTTAAAGTGTGTTTTTGAGAAGATGACAGATAACTGATGATTTTCCATTCTCTTCTGTAACACTGTTGTATCCGTTAGCAGGAGAAAGGAGGGTGAAGAAGTGGTTAAAATGTAATGTTGTGGTTTTAGGGGTGGATTTTGAAGTACCCCAAAGGGTGGGAAGCCTGCAGGAAGGTTGCTGCAGTGTGCAGATGTTGGAGGGCTGCTGCATCCCTACGTGCTGTGGCAGAGACTGCAGTGTCTGGGCATTGTTTGCAAATCCTGGGTATTTTAACCATGAAATATCTGACAAACAATGAATTATGTGGCTACATACAGTCACGTGTACATTCTACCAGTGAACTGTCACGTTTGAAGAATTTAGTGTCATAGTTTTAACTTAAATTTTCTTCCTCCCCCCTCAAATGACAAAATTGCGTCATTCTCTTTGCCCCTTACCTTGGGCACCCACAATTTTTAAAACAGCCAAAAGGAAAAATTTGAAAAACAGAACACAACTAAAAACAGCAAAACCTTTAATTCTTGTTTGTTAGTCTGATGGTGAAATACTGCAGGGTAGACACTGAGTTGGATTTTTATTTCTCTCTTCGTCGAAATGTCAAGGAAAATTGCAAGTCTATTGTGTTTGTTGTTGTGTGTTGCTTCTGTGGCAAAAAAAAAAAAAAAAAGCAGAAGTTTTCTCCCTGCCCACTGTGAGAGGTGCCTCCTCCTTAACCTGAGACTTACTTTCGTTTTCCAGGTGCTGGAGAATCTGGTAAAAGCACCATTGTGAAGCAGATGAGGATCCTGCATGTTAATGGGTTTAATGGAGAGTAAGTGTCAAGCCTGCGTCAAGGGCTCAGTTACAAATCTCACACTAACCTTTAGGGAGTGTAGGTAGGTGTTAGGGCTGGGTGCTAATTGCCACCCTTTTTTCCTAATTTAAGTATTGGGCAATCCTGGGGCAAGGTCTTCGGGGCTACCCCTTCACGGTTAATCTTTGGTACAACAATAATAATACTAATAACAACAAAGCACGGATGCTAGTGTAAAACATCGCCCCATCCCAGGAAAATATTCTTGGTTGCAGGCGGACAGGGAACAGCACCTGGCCCCGGGACAGTCTTGGAGGCCAGATACCCCCACAGCAGCCTCACAGTCTTCTGCAGTGAGTCTCCAACATGGCTGACACGGCCTTGACCACCCTCCTCTGGCCAGTGCTGACCTGTGCAGGATGTTTTAACTCTTAGGGAAACACTGTTTCGGTACTGTCCTTACGTAACACAAAGTTGCATGTGCCGGCCTTCGTGGACAATTTGGCTTTTTTTTTTCTGGCCCCCTTTTAAATTAACATGGGCAAATAATTTAAAATTATTTACAAAATCAGTGCTCCTGCCAAAAGAAATGAAAAAGAAGCATTAAAATGACGAAAAGGCTGGGAATTAGGTATTTCCTGCTGATTCAAGGCGCATTTTGCCTTTGAAATGTCCTTCTGGGACTTGGTGGTATAGGACAGTATAGCAATACTGCAGTGAGAAGAAAGATTTTCTAAAGAGAGAACATCTTAGAGATGTGGGATTAGTATGGGGTCCTGCTCGCCATGAAGAATGTGAGTCAACCCAAGGAATAGTCAGTACGTCAGGGAATTAACGTTTTTACCCCCGAGCCCCCAAATAGGCCCCATCCTTCATTGTCCTGTGACAAGATAGGTGGCACAGAAACAGCTAATTTACTGGTCTGTTGATCTCACCTGCAGTGCAAACACCTGCAGGTGCCGACCTGCAGCAACCAGCTGGTTAGCAACCCATTCCCCTTTTTAACATGGATTCAGTTGCAAATGTGTCCCTTGTATTCACTTCCATTGCAGAAGGTAGACTGAGGCAAGGTGGCAGTTGAAATCCACTCTACACACAAAAGCAACCCCCCTCGTGCGCTAAGGAGCTAGAGACCACACGATGAACTTTCACAACCTTTCAGATGGCTAAAGGTAGCTCTTAGGGGAAAATTCTAGAATTTGTTAGCTCAGATAATCGGAAGTTAGAGAAAGGTGACATCAACCGTAAAATGGTCATTTTAATTTAGAATGCTTTTTTATATTTTAACTCTGCATCTAGAAGATTAGTATGCAGAAAGGACAGGTGGGCTAGTTTGGCAATTTTATGAATGATTCAGTGAGTTGTCACCTACACCTAGTGTTACTAAGTGTGTCACCTTTGCTTGTCACAAACCACTTCTGAAATTCTTAATTCCTGATTCATCCTTCAGTAAAGCCTGGCCAATGAGACTACCCGAAACAGGCTTCTAGCCATGTATCTGTAACTTAAAGGAAAATCTTGCATAAATCCCTCCGCCCCATAACTTGCAGGGAGTGCTTATTCATGAGACTAGTTAAGCGAAAATAATTTGACCGTGCACCCTTTAGATAAATATTTTGATTAAAGCTGGACATGGCTAACATTTTAAAAAGATGCAGCAGCCACTGTTTACCTTAGCTTGAGTCAGATGGAAGAGAAGTCATCCTTGAAATAATTCACTTGAAGTTTTATTACTCTACAGACTGCCCTAAAATTTAAAAATTTTTTACCGAAAGGATTCTCCTCCCCAAATGACCCAGCCTAACACAGACGAGGCTTCTAAACCAGAACTTCTCTTTTCTATTTTCTTTTCAAAAAGAGGAAGCGACATTCCCAGCTTACCTCCTTTGTGGATCTCAGGATGTTAAATTTAGCCTGCAAAAGTGACATACAGGGGTATTCTTCATGGGGGTCAGATACCTCATTTTTACCTAGTCCAGCTAAACCTCCTCTCTTTTTTCCTCACTGTGGTATTGCAACAAACGCTGGTTTCATAATTCCCTGGTAAATGGTGACCTCTGTCCCTGAAGGGTGGTCTGCCTGGTGTGGGGCTTTTCTTCCCTGTCTCTTCCCTGTCCTGCCTCGCCACCCTGCACTCTGTTAGTTCTAGGCTGAGCTGTTCAATTTGCCTTAACTGTCCACAGGCTGCCGTGCCAGTTATATTTTTCACACTAACATCATATTAATTTGACCTTCAGGAATACAAAGGTCGAATGTGGATTTTTCTAATTTAAAACTAACTCTCTTTCTTACCTTTAATGCCAGAAAAATATCATCATTAACTTTGGTTAAGCTAAGTTAATCAATTCTAAAACAACGTAGAAGGCTTAAGGTCTTCTGCCCTTCCATCTTCAAGGAGCAATTCCTACAATTTATGAAGATCAGGTTTGGTTTTTAATTGTTTTTTTATTTATTTGCTGCCTCAGAGTCCAGACAGTTGTAAGCGATGACAACTTATAAACATAAACCCTGGATAGGTAGTTTCCCCCACTTCAGAAAGAGATCATTTTTGCACCAGGAAATCACAGACACAAATCTCAGGTCTCCTTTTGAAGGTTCTGACCTGGGACAGTTAGGAGCCCTCTGGGCTGCTGTATTCTCAACAGAATTGTGTGATAAATCACTGTGCTGTAGCTCCCTAATGCATGTACATTCAGTGAAAGCACAAGAAAATAATTATCTGTCCCTCCTGCACCCGACCAGAGTCTCCAGAGGGCCCTGTTAATACTGCAGCGAAGGTGTGGAATTCTTCCCCCTACGGCCTGCCTGCAGTCTCAATAGACGGCTCTGATTTAGCCAGAAAGGCAACTAAGAATTGATGGGAGGATGGCGCGCGAATTGTTGCATTTGCTCTTGGCTGATTGTTTCAGAATGTGGAGAGGCTGTGTGGGGTTTGTGTGAAATTGCGGTGCCTTGCAGATTAGGTGAGCTTTCAATCTCTCTTTAAAAGGGGCGGCGAAGAGGACCCGCAGGCTGCAAGGAGCAACAGCGATGGGTAGGCACATTCAAAACAGAAAAATTTTTAACAAACAAAACAAACATGAAGATCATGCTGGGAAACTGAGGACACAGACTCGGGAAGAAAATAAAAATCATTTAAGTGCCATCAGCCATCTTGGTATACGTTTGTAAATGATATGTAAACAATTTCTTAACAAGTAAAGTGCAAAACAGTTTTGTTGGCTATATATAAATTATAATTAGATCCAGCTGGGGGAAAGTTATAGATTTTGGCTTTAGATGATAATTTAGGATTTTGAGAATCCACGTTTTTCCATATGGTTTCTATTTTCCCCCAGTTCTTCATTTGAACCAACTAGTAGTTTCTAAAACTACTCAATTCTGTCTGCCAAGTGTTGGTCTGATTTTCAAATTTCAGACCTCTTTGAAAAACATTTTTTTCCTATTAAAATATTCAGTGCCACACGGCTCTTAATTTTGAAAAATGCCTTGGCACCTTGTGGCTGGTAATTATTCATCATCTGGAAGCCTCTGGCCTTTAAAGAATGATGAGGTTCATTGTAATCCACAGCACTTTACATGACCTAGTGGATAAGGACATTCGTGATGGCATCTCTTTTCCCCATTCATCGTCATTTTTTTCTTTTGTTTCCTGCATCGCCACACCCATCTCATGTGCGTACACACATGCATGCCAGGTGACCCACTCCAGCGCCACTCGCATATGTAGCGTGCAGGGATGGAGCGGCAGTTTCTCAGGAGAACACACAGGGCCATTGACTTAGCCTAGGGCATTTCAAAAGAATGGCTTCTGTGGCTGGGGAGAGGCGGGCAGATCCTGGGGTCGGAACAAAGTAACTGACACATGTTTGTTCATCTGTTTCTTTTAGAATGTGATAGATGATGGCTACAGTTTCTCATCTTCCCGGCTCTGGCCTATCACAATTTGCATGCTGGAATTGCTCGGTCTTAGGGTCTTCTAATAAGAATACTATTCTGTTGTGTGGGGGGAGGCGGGAGGGGGGAGGGGGCCCCTACCTATCACCTCACCTTTAAAAATAACTTCAAAAAACAAACAAACCTTAATTGGCAAAAATGAAGTAGAATAGTCAAAGAGCACCTATATAAAAAGTGACTAATTGATAATCATCTGTACCAGAAGTTGGCATCTGAGAGCTAAGACATCCTATTGAGCAACCTACTGTGTACTAGATGTTGTGCGAAGCCCTTGAGCCCTACTAATATCCTTGCCTGCACGTCTCTGTGATTCTGTTCTACAAGTAAATATAAGTATTAACATTCCTGATAAATAAAAACTCTCTGCATGTCTCAGCAATCCCTGTATCTTGCGTCTGTCTTCTGTCTTTCTTCTTTTGCCTGTCTTACCCCACAAAAGCACAAAGATAAGGTACAGAACCAAATGAAACAAAGTACATGTAGCCTTCCCCCGCTGTTCAGTTGAAGAGGGGCAGGGCCTCCTAAAACAATGCTAACCCCACTAATCTTCATATATCTGGAGGGAGGGCACAGTGATACCCTACATGTACTTCCAGCACCAGCCTCAGCTTTGTGGGCAAGTAGAATGCTGGCAAGTGGCATCTATTTTGCCTTTGTTGGGTAGTTTAGAGACATCTAAGGGATATTCTCCAAATTTTATGATCAACATTAAATTCATTAAGCGGTAGTACAAGTGATGATAAACCTGCCAACCCCCGGTATAATATCTCCATCTACAGAGTAATTGCTTCAATGGAAGAATTTTATGTTTTAGTATTACACACCCGAATTAGATTTTAGATTTCTATTTTAGCTGTTTTATACTTGATATACTCCCACACCTATTCACATACGTAGATGAATACTGAACACGTTCTCAAAATATCCGTATTTTAAGACTGGAAGTTTTCCAATTATCATACTACTACTTAGACCAAAATATCAAACTGAATGAAAGAATCTCATTTCTGGAAACGCTTTTCCCTTGCTGTATGTGGATTTGGGTGTTTAGACACCTAGGCATAGCTCATTTTTCTATTGTGGGGGCTTAAAACCAGAGGTTCAGGGCTGTGGGTACCAGTGACACTGGGGCTGTTTTTAATGAGAGGGAGTAAATTTGTCCTAGGGGATTTCAGAAAAATTCTGAATCAAAGACTGAACTTCGGGGACATGAAACGCGTGTCCTTTTCATCTCTACCATCTAAATAACTAATTTTAACGCTGACATTGAGGCTGGAAATGACCTTCAATTACCTACATTCAAAGCATAACGGGCCTGCAGAGGGGCCAGGGATTTTAATCCCCTTAAATATAGGGTGGCAGAGTGGAGAAGCCTGGGGGCAGAGGCAGCTTTCAGATTGTATGAACACCACACTGGGGGCCTGGGCACACCCTTCACCATCGCAGCCCCGAGGTTCTGATTCCACTGGTGCTTTTTACTTCAGTTCCTGAAGAACTCCTGGTACCTCCTGCACCCCCCCAGATGGCAACACCCCCGTAGACCTTACTGTCCCCTAACCTGCAGGAACACTGTGAAGGGCCCATCGAAGAGAGAGGCTCCATGCTAAGGGTAGGCAGACAGCAGCCAGACGACAAGGACCCTCTCCCAGAATATACTTATTTGGGACGAATAAAACGCCCAGAAACTCTGAACAACTGTAGTTCTTTGGAAAAGGCAAGAACAGGTGGTTCCGAGGCCGCCCCCGCGCGCCCCTCCCTCTCCCGCACCTGCTGCACCACTAACCGCCTGGCTTGGCTGCAGGAGCTATTGATCCCCTTTGCATTTCCTCTGCGTCCACCTTCTGTCCTCCACTACGGAGGGCTGTTTAATTTCTGTCTGTCTTCTGTGACTCTTGGTCAGTCAAGTGAATGCTTCAGAAAATGGGATGGTCAGGAGATGTTTTAAAATTACAAACAAGGAAAAGCAGCTCGACCCCGCCCCCGCCCCCGCCCCCGCGCCCTGTGGGAGGCGTGGCCCCTTCCCTGGATGACGTGATGAGTCCCCGGGCCTCACAGCCCGCAGGCGCTGTGCGCACAGCCTTTCCTTCCCCGACTCAGAACGAAGGAGGCAAGGTTTGGGCCGGACACGAGGAGCTCTGTACCCACCGGGAAGGGGGGCTCTGTTGTCCCCTAACAACACGAGCCTCTGAGTCTCCCATAGCTGTGCCTCTAATGAAGGCTGTTTTCTGAAACACAAAGCATTTAGATCAGTGTCATCTACTGCAAAAATGAACACACTGACGGGACCCCAGTAGCCAAAGGTTGGGCCCTTATCAGTGGGGCCAGTGAGGCTGAATAGAAATCATTCCATAAAGACCACACAGGCTACCCTGTGTGCTGCATTGGAATAAAAAGCAGAGAAAAGCCACAAGTCCCCAGCCTACTTAAGAGGGACCTGACGCCCCTCTCTGTCATAAGAACTTCTTGGGGAGGGTCTTATTCCTAATCACACCGAGGGACCGGTGTGCGTTAAACTGTAAACCCGAAGCACTGCTAGTGAGTTGCTCAAAATAGATCTTTTTCACAGACACACCACTGTTTAAATAAAATAATAGGGCCACAAATAGGACTGCAAAGCTCTGGAATATGTAATTAAGGGTTTAAGCCCCGCCCCCCCGTATGCTAATCTAGCAATGCAGTGAATCCCCAGTACAACCCTATAATGACCTCTTGCCCCTGCTGCAGTAGGGCTACTGGAAAAGCCAAGCAGAAGTCTTCTGGGGATGTTAGGGTTATAGGGGCTTCGAGCCAGCAGGGCTACATCTGGATTAACAAAGGAACCAGGTGTAACTTCTGGTACAGTTGATCATGGTCTCAATGCCAATTTGCTCATCTGCCCGGTTGGGCGTGACCTCAGGATGCATTTGGGAAGCTGTAATTGATTCTAATCTCAGCACAGATCTGAACCCACAACTCCTTGAAGAACAGAATACTATGCTTTTTAGTTGGAGAATCTTGATTAAAGTGACATTCCTGGTGGGCAGCATGCAATATGATTTTCCTTTTCTTTTCAATCCCACTGTAGTGAGAAGGCCACCAAAGTACAGGACATCAAAAACAACCTGAAGGAGGCTATTGAAGTACGTGCCTGGCTTTTTGCTCTCTGACGTTTAGCTCCCACCCACCCCCAGTGCCATTCCCCTGACGGCTTTGCTAAACCATTTTCAGACCATCGTGGCCGCCATGAGCAACCTGGTGCCCCCCGTGGAGCTGGCCAACCCTGAGAACCAGTTCAGAGTGGACTACATTCTCAGCGTGATGAACGTGCCCGACTTTGACTTCCCACCTGTAAGCCACGCCTGTTACCTAAGCAGCAGTGTGAGCCTTTGGGCCGTCAGGGGACCCCCTATGGGCTCAAGTGCAGCCAGACAAACCCACAAAATGGTGACTGGGGGTGATGCTAATTCCATGCATAGCCTGGTGATTTTTTGAAAAAGGAAAAAAAAACTAATATATTATTAGGGATTTTTCAAGGTGGATGAGCAAAAGTCTATCACCCCTTGTAAACTGGCTCACCCACCTCACAAATAAACATTACACCTTAATAATAGTATTTTCACTTTATTAGATTGTAAACGATTATGAGGGGAAAAGTACTGAGCTATGACAGACTTAATTATTCCCTCATCCACATCTCTTCCACATGTTAGGACAACCAAAACTGGGTAGTAAGATGGCATGCGAAGATATATAAACAAAACGTCAAGGAAGATATTTGCATTTTAAACCAGTTACCTTTTAATATTTTTGAAGGTTTTCTAAAATCAGTCCTAATATGGGGCAAATGAAGACATCTTTTCTCATTGTTAAAGAAAATTTAATCTACATTATAACTCCAGCATAAATTACAAAACAATATTAAAATTTTCTTCCATGCACTAAGTGCATAACACACTGAGAAAGGTCTGTCGGCTGCCTAAACACTTATATTTAGGCAACACAAAACTGTCCAAGCCCGAGCATCTACATTTTGGTGGGGGGTGAATTTTTATGAGGGGTACAGAATACAAGATGGGAAGATGTACAAATTTATAAGGCCCAGAGGGAAGAGACTTGTACAGCTAAAACAATGAGTTATTGTTGCCTTTGTAATGGCTTTCAAGGGAATTTGGGTTTGTGTATTTTTAATGGCGGTTGGCTGCAAACTTATATTTGCAAGGAAGTAGTATTAATTAGTATAAGTAGGTATGTTTTTAAAACTAGGAATTGATTTAAATGATTAAATGGTAAACACATAGAGGAGTAACGACCCTAGCTTTTCATGGTTCTGTATTTGTAGTGAAGACAAAATGGCAGCTATTTCACACATCCACACTGTGACTTTCAGTTGGTCCCACTAACATCTGAACTTCACGTTCCTACCTCTAATTCCCATCAGCATTTTTGGTAAAATTCACATTTTCCTGGAGAGAAAAATTAGCCTGAGTACCTCTTACTGATGAAGTTTCTTATTTTCACAAGACCAGTTGCTCATTGTTATAGTCCAATACAAATTAGTATATGTTCTCCCTATGTAAAAGATCCTGCAAAGAAACAAAATTATCCAGTAGTTCACTTCCTCCCACCCCCAAGATAAGGGAAAAACTATCTAAAACCACTGACTCACCATAAGTGAGAACTTAATTATGGCAACTTTTAAATATGCTCCACGTGTTGAGTTGAAGTTCTGTGTGAGCACCGCAGCGTTGGTCAGTGACTGGTCTTGGCTTAAATGGTGGCGCTCTTGACTTGGTGGGAGCTTTCCTGAGCATCTTTCCTAAAGCACCTTCTTGGTTCCCTTTCAGGAATTCTACGAGCACGCCAAGGCTCTGTGGGAGGATGAAGGAGTGCGTGCCTGCTACGAGCGCTCCAACGAGTACCAGCTGATCGACTGTGCCCAGTAGTAAGCAACCCTCTCACGCAGCATCTGCACACAACACAGGCAAAAACGGAGAACGCAGGCACTGAAAATTCCAGTAACTGCACAGGGCCCAGCCAATTATCCTGCCAGCAGTTAGAAACTTTTAGTCTGAAGCACCTAATGGCACTTTTTAGTGCAGTGACACTATTTTACATAAACAGTACCTGTTAGAGAAAAATGATAATTACCTGCAGCAAAGTGACATCCATAATTAATTAGTTTGAAGTAATGAATTGAAATGACCTGTAAGCATTTAGGGAAAATGGGTAGCGGTCACACTTTGGATAATGTAAAAATGTTATAGCTTATTGCTGTAATTTAAAAACATAACATGGGCTGGGGATTTAGCTCAGTGGTTCAGCCTCCTGCCTTGCAAGCACAAGGACCTGAGTTTGATCCCTGGTACCAAAAACAAACAAACAAACAAATAAATAAATAAAAAACATAACAAAGAAGAACAGAAAAAAAGAAAAGCCATGCCTTCCCCACTCCCTGGCAGCTAACTGCTTTGCTGTTTCTGCTCTCAGGCAGGTAGCTTCAGCAGCTGCCGCCGTGCACGTTACTAGGTTACATCAACCTGGATAGAGATAGTTTTTGAGTTTTCTTGACTTGAGCTGTCTCATGCCTTATTTATTTCTTTACACTAGAGTTGGCAAGTAGTCAGTGGGTTTTACATCTTAAAAGCACATACCTAAGCAACATAGCACAGTATTTACAAATAAAAGTGGGAGGCCAGGTAAGACTGGCAATAACGGTGTGAGAGACACCTCTCCAAACTGAACCATAAAAGTAGGCAAGCTCACCTGGTAAAGGTGCTGGTGAGTGAAGAGGGAGAAAATGATCTAAATAACAGATTTTAGTGCACACCTCTGGCTGATGCCTGAGGCACTACACCTGTGGCCTAAAACTGGCCCTTCCTGGGGGGATTCCCAGCACCCTGCAAGGTTTCTCTTCCAGAGGACGCAAAGCCATGCATCTGGAAAGTTGCCTTTTAAATACTTTATGACCTTCCTCAGCCTGCACACAATACAGCAAGCATATGGTGGTCCAGGTCATAAAAGAATTGAGAGAGATCTTTTGTTTACTGATGCTGCACACAGCAGCTCTGTGTATTCAAGAGCAGAAGTCTTATGTAATAGGGAAGGCTAGAGAAAAAGGGTCTCCAAATTTACCCGAGTTGCTGTTACGGTCTGTGAAATCAGTCACTACCTTCCCCCAGCCTCGCCTCCTCATAGGAAGTTGTCTGATTATTTTTAATTGTCACATACATAGGTAATCCTGGTATAATACTCAAGCAAAGTTGCATATTCTTTCAAGGAACAGAAAAACAGTCCATTGTGGCCCCCAGCCCCCACTCCTCCTTCAGCAAAGTCCCTGATTTTCTCCAAAGTTTGAACTGAAAGCTGGAAGCACTAATTATAGTAACGCAAAACAAATGGAAATCCTGGAATTGTTTGAGATTTGTATTTTGGATCCAAGTCAGGAGTTAAGTACAGGTACGAGATTAGGAGGGTTTAATCATCCCAGTCATGAATGCTGGGGGCAGGGGGTGGAACAATTTAATTAACAGTAATTTAGCCAGGTTGTTTTGGTTATATCATTTAAAAGTTTCATTTTTTTCTTAAAAAGTGATACACGGGACATTACTCCTGAAACTTTATTTGAAAATGGCACCACTTGCACAGATTTTGAAAAGTTTTAAAGGAACTCCAAAAAAGAGAACATAACTTGAAACTTTTTAAATGTCTTCCCTAATCGGATAGTTAAAAAAATCCCCAGATTTGCAGTGACCAGTATGTTTCTAGTTTTGACTCTTTATGTTGGAGTGGAGGTAATGGTCTGGTGCCCATTTCTTAAGCTGCCTATTTTTATTTGTTGAGCTGGAGTTTGGTTGGCCCCACTCCAGATGTCTTCTCACAAGATTTGGTGCTGAGGATCTATTTATAGAACTGTGGTTCTGTTGCCATAGCAACATGCTGGAGGCCAGGGTGGCTGGGGAGCTATTTCTGGACCTGTGCTGTAATGTAAGATTGATTGGGCAAGTTAGTATATCCTTTAAGCCAGACTAGCTCCAAACTGGTAAAAAGGAAAGGGAAAAGGAAAAAAAAATTAAGAGATTTCTTTAAATAGATTTTTTTGCACTTTGTGATTTTTGTGAGCTTATTTTCTGATTAGCCCATATTAAAACAATTCCCCTCTTCACCCCTCCCCCCAAAACAAACTGGTTTTTACGTTTATTTTCCATATTAAGTTTCCTCATTCTTACAGCATTCACTTTCCCTAATTGTGTATCTATTCAAGCAACACAGGCCACAGATAATTTTAAACTAAAAGTTTCTAATATCTGGAGTGTCCTACTTCATAGACCTGATAGATCGGAAGGGGACTTCGTGTGTTTCCTGTTTGGTGGTGTGGCGAGGCCGAGAAGGGCCCCTTTGTGCCTGCCGCTTTTGTTCTCACTAATCAATGAGATTCTTAAAAAGTAAAAAGGAAGGACGTTCTGAGTAACGAAAACAATCTCATTTGCCCTTGAGGGAAAAGTCCTTCGTGCTTTTAAGGGTGGCACTTCACACAGTTTTTAAAAATCGAGTGACATGGAGACAGGCAATTTTCAAACTATTGTCTTTTAGTCCAAGCCAGACAATTTGAACATTAATGTTTTTGTCAGTCCTTCTCAAATGGCATAGGGTCTGGTAGGCCTGGCCTGAGGTCCTTGCTTTACCGATTGATATGCATAAAGCCAATTCTTAAAAAATTGAAAGCAAGCACAAAGCCCCACCCACATCCTGGGCTGTTTGCTCCGTCTCTGTGGGACGGTCATTCCCAGCTGGCCAGTGCTTGGAGGAAGACAGGCGGTGGGCAGGTTGGGGCAGGCTCTGTCAACACTGTCATGTGTCTTCTCTTTCTTCAAGCTTTCTGGACAAGATCGATGTCATCAAGCAGGCCGACTACGTGCCCAGTGACCAGGTATGCACCTTTGAGGTCAGAGGACTTAGAGCCCTCTGTCCAAGATATCCAAGATTTTGGCTCCAGGTGGGTCATTATTTAGGTTGGTTTGATTGAGATCCATTGACACACGATTTGTAATAGGACCTGCTTCGCTGCCGCGTCCTGACCTCTGGAATCTTTGAGACCAAGTTCCAGGTGGACAAAGTCAACTTCCAGTAAGTGAATGGCTCTCTTCTTATAAAACGGACAGTGACATCTTGACATGCTTTCTGGCCATTAGAGCGGTAGCCCCTGGAATAACGAGCTGTCCTTTCTCCCCACCAGCATGTTCGATGTGGGTGGCCAGCGTGATGAACGCCGCAAATGGATCCAATGCTTCAATGGTATGGACACAGTGGGCTCTGTTGCTCTGTTGTATTTCTAGGGAGCACTTCTGCTTCTAATACTGACTGCTTTTGCTTTCTTGATATTCAGATGTGACTGCCATCATCTTCGTGGTGGCCAGCAGCAGCTACAACATGGTCATCCGGGAGGACAACCAGACCAACCGCCTGCAGGAGGCTCTGAACCTCTTCAAGAGCATCTGGAACAACAGGTGTGTGTTGTGCAGAGCCTTGTGACTGCTTTCGGAGCTCTGGTTTGCACTGTTCTAGAAAGGACTCCCAGGCCAGTCCTTAGGCAAACACCAGTTCCTCCTTACATGAAGCAAGTTTTCTTCTGGGCATTAAACCTGCTCTCCCTCTCTATAGATGGCTGCGCACCATCTCTGTGATTCTGTTCCTCAATAAGCAAGATCTTCTCGCTGAGAAAGTCCTTGCTGGGAAATCGAAGATTGAGGACTACTTTCCAGAATTTGCTCGCTACACTACTCCTGAGGATGGTACGTGTGGCTTCCAGTCAGGTGGTTATTTTTTAAGAAAACTCCCAGTGCCTTTCCCTCCCCAAACTATAAAGATCTGTGGGGGGGGGTAGC